TGTTTGGTGATGCTGCAGTAGTTTAAACAGATACAGATCCACTGCAAATTTCTTTTAATTGGTTGAATAAAGAAACAAAAAAATATATATATCTGTCAGCAAGGATTAAAGATTCATCGAACCTAGGTGATATCTGTGCAGCCAGGAGACTTGTTTGTACTGGGTTTTATCGGTTTCACCAGTGTATGTGCATGTGTTGAAATGAGAAAGATATGCATAAATTTCCCCTTGATTTACTTAAGTCGGGAAGTTGTCATTGAAAATATTTTTGATCGATAATGTTTAATATATGTTCTTCTCTCTTCTTAATCCTTATTTAAATGCACTGTGATCCAGCATTTTTTTTTTTACCATAATGTTATGTTGCTGTTTGAAAAATTATTTTAGTTTTTCTTCATTTTCTTGTTTATCTACTTGTTTATTTCGCTTCCGTTATAGTGAAGTCCAGTCAATGAATTTTTGTTCAGGTAGTTCTGCGTACGGCTCCGTATTTGTTCTTTCATTTTCGTTCTTTTAAATAAAGTTTTTCAGAAATAATTAACGTGGACACTTTGTAGAGGTACTTGACACTGTGGTTGCATTTTATTGTGGCGTTGTTTGAAAGTGTCACGTTGGCTTGTTTTTTAAACAATAAATTATTTCAGCCGATCGAAAGAAATCCGAATTTGGACAACGCGAGCTAACAGAACTGGAGGTAAATCCTTCTACTTTTATTTGATCCTTTTACTTTTGGTTTTACTTCTCTCTTACCGTTTTCCACGATTACTTTTCTGTTTCCTCTTTAGTACTTTTCTGAGTCATTAGTGTCGATCACGGTAAACAAACATTACTGTTGTTCTAAAATGAATTTTTACGGCTGTGTACTGCTCTGGAATTAGTATTTTTTCTCTAACCTTATAATTTTTCTCGTAAAGCTACCATGACCTTAACAACTCTTCTTTTTTATCTTTCTATCTCAAGCAGAAATTCAAATTGATAAATATTACTTTGCTACAGAAATGCTGATATTTGATATTCATTTGATGGGTTAAAGGACTCCTTTGATTCAGTGCTTACATTTCTTACCTTAAAAAAAATTTCATATATTTACTTGCTGTGTGAGGTTAGGGGACTTACTGTCAAACCTTAAAAGCGAATGGATTGTGGGCGAAGTAAATGAAAATTTTCAGGAAGCTAGAAGCTTTTCCAGTTGGTAGGTTGCTAGCAGAAAGTCCAAAGTTCATTCAAATGCATAAAAGGAAGAAATGAGATGGAAGAGCATGATGAACGCACATTTCTTTGTGGGTACCAAAATTCACGAGGATATGGTAGCACCTCATGCCTCCAGACATGTAAAAAAAGATACCGCACAGTTGTACGTCATAAAGTGGAACCCAGTGATACTTTACGAGGAATTGTTCTCAAATATAATACTTCCGTAAGTTCTTTTGCGGTGCCACATCCGTTCTTGGCGGTTTCAGAGGTAGTACAGAACTCTTCCGACCCGCTCAACATTTAAACTTGCGACCACTTTAACACTTCCGCGCTTTCATCATAAAACCACTCTTAATCCTCCCCTTGTTTGGACCGTAACTACCCGTGAGCAAATGTGTGAGGCAAATTCTATGAGCAGCTTCTCCTTACAAAGTGAAATACCTCGCTGCCTAAAAGCGTTTGTTTTCGCAATTCTGTGTTCAACTGGTGAATTTTAAAAAAATACAGGTACCAAGCTTTTTGTTCTCGTACTTCCTGTAACTGCTGGTTTCAGATGACCGAAGTTAAGAGGATGAATCGTTTATGGTCTAATGAAAGCCTGTTTCTGAAGGACTTCATCGACGTACCCATCTACGACAGCAACGAGACCGTAAACAATGCCATATGCAGCCGTAATGGATCTCATGTAATTAAAGATACTGATGAGCCTATCACTGAATCTGTAGAAGAACTATTTAAAAGAATAGACCAAAGTATAAAGGCAACAACGAGAAATGTCAAAAAATTAGAAAAGAATATAAGGTACTACACTCAGATTTTAAGTTCGTTTTTATAATTTATTTGGTGAACCAAGTCTAGTACATCTTCTAGAATGTTTCAGCGTGCATTATTGAGCTGGAAATGTGTTTAGATTTATATAATATACACCTTCTAGCGTGGAATGGAGTCCCTTCGACAGGTCAGCCCCGCAGAAGAGGATGAGACACTCCCTAAGTACCGTGCGCGGCTACCAGTCGTCAACATAGTCCCATACCGTACAAAAGTATTATAAAAACAAGTGCTTTCAAAATAAAAACCATTAAAGTTTTATCAACAACTTCACGAGCAACAGCAAACGATCAAAATAAAAGCAACGCTGGCTAAGAGACAGTTACTTTGCAGATACTCCCTTCTTCTTCTTCTTCAGTGCTGCTTTCGTGGCCAAAATTGCCTTCTTCCTGTTTCCCTGCAAAACCCAATTTTCCTGTTAAATTCATCCATAAAATCAGTTAACTCTACTGCAACTTAATAATTTCAAACAGACCCCCAACGCCTGGTGACAGATCTAGAGCAATTATGGAAGCTAGTCTGAGTACTAATCAACAAACCTCAATTCTTTCCTCATCCTTTGTAAGCATCTTCTGCGCTTTGCGCTGAGCAAGTATTGCTGCTCGTTTGAGAACCGCTGCGTATGGATTCAACCGACCCATCAGCTTACTATGTTTCAATGGGTTTCTACGAACCCTTACAGCCTTCTTGGGCTTCTTGCGAGGACGCACAGCTTTAATTATCTCCTCAGACCGGATCAACCGTGAGAAATCTGCATTCGTCATCTTTGCTCTTGGGATACTAAAGCCCGCCTTGACTTTCGATTTTTTAGTCTCGGTTCCATAGATAGGATCTAGTTTACGGAAAGCTGATGCAGTCCAAATTATTAAGCGACCAAGATGTCCACCTGGCGCTATCTTGAGTAAATTCAAACGGTCCACACAGAGAATATCTACTCCAGGCACATTTCTGAACGCTTTCACGATCCCATTGTCTTGATTGTACACTACAACTGGCCCTAACTTAGACTTATAGCGACGGTTGCGTCTTTTTCCTTTCCCCGCACGATACCGTTTTGAATTGTAGACCTAAAAATGAGTATTAGATCTTCACAAGATCAAGGTCAATACTTCTTATCTTACAGTAATGACTACACCTCATTAACTAGTCACTTACAGCAGAAGCCCACAATTACCAGAAAGCTAGAGAGTAAAAAAAAAGTCCAGAAATTTCAAAAAAGCACCTTTTCAACATCGGCATAAACGTGTGACCTGCGTAAGAACGTAACAGCCTCTTTAGTTTTTTGGAAAGCTTCAATATTATCAGTAATTACAAAAGGGACTTCTGGGATAAGATCGATTATGTGCCCCCGGGCTTGAACTAAAGCAGGCACACCTGACGCAGCTATAGCTGATACAATTGCAAAACGCTTTTGAGCCACGTTTACTCTACGGTGCCAACGACGAAACACCTGGAAACGCATTTTAACTTTGGAATAAATGGACAAATTATCTATATTTTTCTCAACTATAACTAAGAAAGATTGCCCGCAGGGCAATAGCTGCCCATTCAGTGAGAGCCATAATGGTTCATTCAAACTACAAAAATACGCTAGCTGTTCGATGATACACAAACAAAAAACTGATATATTAGGCATACACACATAACACAAAAGCGTACAAAATTTCTTCTAGGTTTACTATAAATCTACCTTAGTAGGAGCAAACATATGTCCACCACGACACATGTTTCCAAATGCTCCTTGACCACAACGATGGGTACCTCCTCCTCGAACACGTGGAATACGTGCTACTGCACGTCCAGTACCCCACGATTCAGCAGATGTTTGGTGACCTGGAACAAGCCTTGGACTAAGAAAACATATTACACAAGAGTTTTTATAATTCAGCTTGAAGTGTAAAGGAAAGTCATTTAGCAGTAGAGCAGCAGAACAAACAATGAAACTAGTACCGCGAAAACTAAAAGAACTCATTTCCCCAACCAAAATTCACGACTTAAACTAGTCTTTTTTAAAAAAAAAATCAGATCTATTAAATAATGTAACATTTCAGAGCAAATTTATAGACAGTAATAATAAATGCCTCAACTACTGCCAAAACTCTATAAGATTAAGACTCACCAACCACCACAACGAAAAGAAAACAGGCACCTTAAATACCGGCAAAATTTGCCTACCAGCTTTAGTTGAAACAGCGTACGGCTGTCGTTTATTTTTTCGAACCTGGTCATGTACGAAACTGACCACATCTGGACGAATAGGTGCTCTAAAAACTCCAGGTAGCTTTATTTGCTCGTCTGTTGGCTCATTCTTCTCGTTGTAAACCGTGACCAACGGTCGAGCAGTCATAATCACCTAACAGCTCTGTATTTATTTATTTACAGAACAATTTCTACAATACTACATTTAAATGCGACACCGTATCAAAATAAAATCGAGCGGAAACATTATAGAAGACGTTAAGAGACAAAATAAAACGAACTGAATTTTCTTTAATGGCTAAACATGAAAATACACCACATATAAACATTAAAACTTTTCTACACGTATATAACTCAAAAGCTTTACCACATGACTGCGTGACCGTATGAAAGTACTGAACAGTTACATAAAATCTAGCAGAAATACCATACCTTTCTCTTGCACTACAAAGCTTTCTGTCGTCTTCACTAATCTGCTAGCCCAAGCTCAAAAAGGCATAAAGTGCATCTCAAATCAGCTATCGAAAAAGCCACCAAAGAAGCCTTGTCAAACAGTGAAATTTAGACTCTTTGTTGCGTTCCAACCTGAATTTAGAAATACACTACGTTTATGCATACTAACATATCATTGAATCCTGGCTCACGGTTTGAAAGAATAATATTTCATTAGAAAGAGCTGTCCAGATAAGCATTACAAGTTAAAACGTCTTCAGTTCCTCCTCTCTTAAAAGATAAAACGAAGCATACGCTGCATTTAACAGCCAAAAAAACCGCCTGACGTCAATATAACAAAAGATCCTAAAGAACTCATTCTCAGCTGTAATTAGATTAGTATGATTGGGTAAAATTATGCAAGACCATATTTTGCAAACTGCCGAGAGAAAATCCAAGTAAAAAAGAGCCCTAGCGAAGACCGTACTTCCCGAAACAAGGTTAGTTCCCTTACTTACTTTTAACCCATCCCCTCTTAAATTACACAACCTTGCTTCCACTAGAAAAGGCTAAATGCTCTTTTCACTAATTCCCGAAAGATGAGAGAACATAAGGTTCTTTGCAATTAACAATGTCTGGTAGACCTGAATAAAAATAAACAGACCATCAGATTGTTGGAAACGAAGTGAAACCAACGAAATCCGAAATCCACAAATTTCATAAAAGCTCCAAACGGTGTCTAACATGAAGATCATGCCAAGAAAAGTTTAAAATGAAACACTTTCTGAAAATTCAAAACTCGTAAAAAAATGTACTTCTCTGTCAACCACTTACCACTTCTCCAGAAATATCCCTCCAGGCAGGAATCATAATTGCTCCTTCCTATCCCAAACTACTACTAATGTTAAGTTTGTCTTTCAATACAATACAAAGCAATAAGAAGTGCTACTAAATTCAACCATTCTTGCAGTGACATCCTCATTTCTTCATAAAACAGGACTTTCAAAAATAAGTATGAACTTGAGCAGGACGTAGACAGTAATTTAAACATCTGATTCTAAGCTTCCAGTTACTCGGCTAAAAGCTAAATTTTCTTCTAACCTTTCGGTCAGAAAACTGCAACTCATTTTGAATTCTAAATTGCTCAGCAGCATCTTCTTCGTTAAAATTTTCTATTTAAGTGCATTCGTGGAAGTCTCCATGAAG